TCTTGGGTATGTCATGAGTGAAAATCGAGTAAAGGAATGGAGCGATGTCGCTTCCTTGTGGGACTCCAGCTCTAACAGTATAACGGGTTAAGTAGGTGTTGTTTAAGCGAACAGTAAAGAAACGATTTGACAGATATGATTTTATCAAGAGGAAAAGAGGGGCGGGTAAGAACTTTTTAAGTTTGTACATTAGTCCGTCGTGCCAAACCCGATCAAAGGCTTGAGAGATGTCAAGGAATACTACTGTACAGAACTGTTTTTTTTCCAGTGAGCTGGATATGATATCAACTGTTCTGTGTAATTGGTGCAATGTAGAATGTTTTGATCTGAATCCGAATTGTATGTGTGGAATTATGTTTTTTGAAGAGGCTAAATGAATGAGTCTTTTTAAAAGAATTTTCTCAAAAATTTTTGAAAAGGTTGGGAGATGACTTATGGGTCTGTAAGAGGCAGGATCTTGTGGTGGTTTATTGGGCTTAGGTATTAGAATAACATCCGAGTATTTCCAAGTGTTTGGAAAGTACGATAGTCGGAAAATGGCATTGAATATGTGTGATAAAAAAATAATAATATTTTTGGAAAGGTTCTTTGTAATAACATTACTAATTAGATCATGACCTGGTGATTTTTTAATAGGGAGTTGCTTGATAATGTGTTCAATTTCACCCAGAGAAGTGTTTTTAGCGGGGGGCAATGTTATCACTAGGGTTAGGGACTTGTTGCATTTGCATATTCTGTAATAATAACCGCAGAATAATCTAAGTAAGATATAAATTTAATTAAAAGCTTTTAATAAAAAAAAGTATATATATATAAATTTGTTTTAAGACATAACAGATTGTAATACAAAAATTTTTATTGCACATTTTTGCACATTTTACCGTTCTTTAGGCTAAACATGTATTTAATAAATTTTGGCAATTTTATTGTTATTTATAGCATATTTACACAGTTTTTATTTTATGTTAAGTAAATTAGTTTAAAGGTTATCATTATTTTTTTTTTTTAACTTTCATGCGTCGGTCAATATATCTAATCATTGAATTGAATGAATCAAGACAGGGCAATAAGGGAATCCCTAAAGATCGATTCGCACGATACGGAACATTGACGTCACATCACAAACCGACAACGTCACGTGAAAATATGTAACTAGGTATGTATTTATATCGAAATGTTCATATACACCGGCAACAATACACAACGTCACGGAACGGCAGCGTTTATCGAAAACTATTTTGACGTGACGCAACCGGTCCGCTTGGATATTACGAATGTGACAACTGAACGTTTCCGTCAAATTTAAGTTAATTTAAATAATTATATTTTAATTATTTTTCAATATTTTATCATGGATGATGAACATTTAATAGAAAAAGTTCGTCAATATGCTGAACTATACAATATGACACATAAAAAATATAGGCATGATGTAATTCTTATTATATTATTGCCATATAGTAGATTAATATTCTATATTTTTATTTAAAACCACAAGATAACTAAAATAGTAAATAACAATTGTTTCAGAACACTATAGGGTGGTATAACACTTCCGTAGAGTCAACCTCTGTAAACTGCAATGATTCCTACAGTTTGACGTTTACGCTTGACGTCAACAAGTTTGTCATGACGTTGTTGGTATGTAATGTGACGTCGACTTCCTGTATAGTGTGAATCGGTATTCATTTTTTAATTAAATGTATAATTATACAAAAACACATTCAAGTGATACTTAATATTAAATTTATTATAAATTACAATTATAAAGAATATTGTATAATGTTATTACATTTCTTATAGTTACACGCTATTGATTTTACAAAAGTATATCGGAATATTTCTCCCCTTTTATACTGATCAATTAAATACTGGTTTTTTTTTTTCGTGTTAAAATTTGGTTTTGTGTTGTTTTTTGTTCACCGAGGCTTCTTAATTTGCAATAAACGTCAGTTTGGACTTCTTCGGTTAAAACATTTAACCATTGTAAAATAGATGGCGAATGTCAATAATTCTTTAAATGTGCTTGAAATGACTCACAAACGTTTGCTGTGCGTGTAAGTTCTGAAAATGCAAGTGCCCAAAGTTTTGGAAGATAAATACAATCTTCAGAAATATATGTTTCTACAAAATAGTCAGCAAACTTTTGTAGCCTATCATCAATCGGACGCTCGGTCATAAAGTCGTCGATGAAACAATCACTTACATCTTCCGGATTTAGAAATAATAAATATATTATGTAGTCATTCACCAATTTCATGTGACTCGTCTTTATACACACTTGATGAGACAATTTATTGTTTTTGATATTATCAAGACTGGGTTAAGTGAAATCGGCATCCTGAAATATTAATTTGCGTCCACATTTCAGAAACTACATTAGTTATAGCTCTTTCAAAGTCCACAGTTATGTTGGTGAGAGAAAAGTTTAACTCCAAGTCCTTGCACTTTTTGCTTATTGCATAAAAAACATAAGTATACGTTGTTTACATGTATTTGGTAATAAGCAAAAAACTAATGGAACATAGTAACCATTAAAATATACATGAATCAAAAAAAATTGTAAAAAAAACCGAAAATTTTTACTTTCCGCGGATCTCGGGGTGCCGCCGCGAGTCCGTCATTTCAAAAACGACAGCCGCACGCGTCCGCCCAATATATTATTAATATTACTCACGACATGGATCGAGAATAACATGATATCTGGGAAATTCTACATTTTCCCGCATGATCGGAAAAATTAGTCGTTTTGAAAATTATTCACTTGCTTCGCGAACGTTGTTTTGTTGAAAGTTCCGTCCATATAAATATTATCAACTTTTGATAAAAATCTAAGATTTGTTTCACATGAAAATATTTTTATTTTTTATTGAGTTGGCCACCCCTGCTATACAGATATAAAAGATCAAATCAGAAACGCTTTATCCTAGTTATCGCATGAATTTCGAACGTAATCTTTCCTCTCTTTTCTGTTAATGGAAAAAAACACACGATTGTGAACATATTATTTGTGACGAATTATACGTAGGTTATTAATATTTTAATTTTTTCAACTAGGGGTTACCAAAATATAGAAACTGAAATTTGTGGTGGCGGAAAAAGGAAATATATATTATTGTACTGGCGATAAACGAGAAGGTCGATTTTGGCGGAAAACGGTAACGCCCGAATTTACACCTAAATCATTTTTATCTGAAAAAACACGGGCCGAGTTTACAATAGACCTTTTGAAAATTGTTTTCCTTCGAGCTGAGTGTACAATCGCCCCACGTATTTCATATTAGGAATAATTGATAAATAATGTAAGTAAATGGTTCATGGAAAAAAGTGTTGTGTTAAGTAGGGTAACGCGATTGCTTCGTTTTATTCGACTAATATCCCGTCGAAAATAATTGGAACTCTAGCCCCTCAGAGCACGGAAGAACTAGTCACACCTACGAATAACTGTTACGAATAAGCACTGCTAACTAGAGATTTTACGGAACCCCGGGCAGATGTTTTCACGGGGCCCAGGAATTTTTTTTCTTGAAGCTCAAAAAGCCTAGTACTCATATGACATATTTTTCTATATTTTCATAACTTATGTAAAAACATTTTTCATTGGTATAGAAATAATATTTTTTCATCAAAGAGTCAACAATATATTTAATATTATTTTTTGTACATTTATTATTATTATATTATTTATACTACAATACAGGCACCTACTAAGCATAATATTGAATCTAAAGATTAATATATCATACACATTTTCACATGACAGGAGCACCTTTTATTTTATTTTAAAAACAAAATTATAGGCTTTCGTGTTATTAAATTTCATGAAAGGCGTGAGGCCCCTAAAACGGCTGATCCCTGGGCAGCTGCCCCTTTTGCTCTGCCCTTCCGCCCGTTCAGCCAACAGTAACCGTCTGCTACCATTAAGGGCACCGTATAAATACGTTATAATAACAAATGTAGTGCAACACAATACGTGTACAATGTACAAAATATACACAATCATACAAACACGGACGATGTCGCCCGGTTGGTGAAGGGGGGGGGCGGGGGTAGGTGATACATTCGCGTTGTTATTATTATTCATTTTGACGCTCCAACACCTCGTCCTACCGTTGGAAAAGAACGTCGACAGGGCATTCGGCATGTGCTTGCACCGCGATGCACGATATTATTATTGTATTGCATTACGGATAGCACATCTTATTTAATTGGAAACGACGTCCGACGACGATCGTTTAATTATAGACTTGGTGCTAACGACCAGATGTAACGGGGGGATAACACACCTTACCGGTAATGTTCGTGGTCGTGATTCTCGTCTGCCCATCAATTAACGAATCGTCGCCGTTTATCAAAACCGACAACCCGAAAACGATGTTGTAGCGTCTCAATTATGATTATGATATGGCTCAAGGCACGAACACTGCGTGGTACGTGCAACCGTTGTATCGGACCGAGAACAAAAACCGCCTACACAGCTTTACCGCTTTTACCGCGTACGATGTAACCGCCGATTTCCGTTTTATTATTGTTATTACCATTATTAATCGTTAAAAGTCACTTATCGTTGATTCGACATCGTGACCGCGGAGTCGGTTTTCTTAACGGCGGCGGTGGCGGCGGCGCGCGATCACTTTGATTACCCGACAACCGGGACCGGTTGGACTCGTTAAGAAATGTTGTGAAATCGACGGGGAAAAATCCGTTTGGATCGTGAGCAGTGGCAGGCGCAGTGAAAATTGTCTTCAGCAATCCGACGTGGACGTCGTCGAAAAACGTTTACGGACTACAGATCCGCGACGACGTTCAATTTTTGCGCCTTGAAAACCAGTGATCGAGCCGCCCAACGTGCGGGCGTCACCGCCCGTGGCAACACTGACTGGGCGGTTGAAACATTCTGATAGGTCGGGGGTGAGGGGGGGCGAAGGAGAGGAGCCGAAAAAAAACGTAATATATATAAAAAAAACCTTATCAAAGTTATCCACGACTAAAATCTTTATCAATTTATCGAATATTTATCAGTGGCCTTGCGTGTACGAGTGTGTACATAAGCATTTCGCGTACCGTTGTGCATACATTTCAATAATTATTATTAATATTGTTTGTCGTTCGTGCACCGCAGTTCCGACATCCGGGTACTTTGGCCTTTTCCCGACGCGTTGAACAACGGCCGTGCGCTGGCCCATCTCGTTCGCGGTGCTGCAATGGTGCTACGTTAGGGTGGACGACGCGGAAGTGTTGCTGATATTTGACCCACTAAGTCGGCCATGCCCGTCTCATAGTCAATAGCTCCTAGACGACATGAACTGCCATCAAATACTGAGCGGTGCCTGCAACGCTGGCGACCGGTGTTTTGCTGTAGGCAGCGTTGAAGGCGTACCGTTCACCGTAAGTACCTGGGACCAACAGTAACCGATCAACAGTCTGCGCGCGTTTAAACACAAATCATGTTATATGTTTAGGCTTATGCGGCTGGATGCAATATCGTCATTCTGGCGAGTACGTTTGAACGGGTGCAAATCATTCCTGGTGCAATACACAATTATATCCGTATCAGTTGTTTGGATTGCTCAACAGATACGGGCAAAATAGCTGCTGCCTATGACAATCAAATATGTGTTTTTGAACCAACCCCTTTGGTTTGCAAGAATTCACCTCATGCAAGTTCATTCTTGGTTTCCTTAAATATTTAGCTATTACTTTGCTCAATGACACACCCATAAATATAAATAAATGCATAATGAATACAAATTATCTCATACAATTAAAAAAAAAATAGGAAGGAAGTAAAGTATTGAGTACAACTATTTAACATATGAAGTATTATGATATATTTTTATTGATTTACTTAATGAATTGACATGGTTTTGTTATGTAACATCATATTATAAAAATAGAATAATAAATAATTGTTCTAAAGCTCAATTAAAATTGTAAGCACCTACCTATGAGTTTTATTATAATATTTTTGTGAATTTGTATTTACATTTTATTTCAAAATTATAAAATTAATAGTAACAATATTAAAAATTGAACATTAAATTCAATGTTAATTTATTTTAGTTATTATTAATTGAAGAAATCTTGTATTTCATTATTTCATTATTTTAACTTATTAAATAATAGTTATCAAAGATTTTATTTAATCTCACATGTGAGCTGAAAAATAATACACTTGAGAATTGGGATGTTTGTTTAATATTTTGGATTAAAATAAAATTAAAATAAAAATAAATTAATTTAAAGAAAAATGATTCAGTTAATTTGATTATAATTATAAAATCATCCAACATTGCATAATAACAAAAAAAACTACAGTTTAATTTATGTAAATATTTTTCTAAAATTATTATTTAATCAAAAGTTGTGTATAATAATTATTAAATTATCTTTTGAATATCCATTAATATGTAGTAATTATATAAAACTCAAGATTATTATATATTTAAAAATAATACCTTTTAAATGTACATATAATTTTAAATACAAATTTCATTTTTCAACTTGAATGATTATTTTTTTTATAACTATTATTAAAATTATTGGTATAGAAAAATTATTTTGCCTAGTTAAATTCAAACTTAATAATATATTTTACTTTTAAATTTGCAGCAATTAGATTATAAATGGGTTGAGACTGCTAGCTGGCGAACTGCTTGTCGTATTAGTTGTTTGTCATGGAATTTGGAAGGCACAAGATTACTTACAGGAGGTACTATTTTACAACTATGGCATCAACAATTACCTGATGAAGCCTTGGAAGGAAATACGGGTATTTATAATTATTAACTAACTTTATTATAAGTAGTATTAATTGTGTTTATAATTTAAAACTTACATTAATCATATAATGTTATATGGTTTGTAGTCCTATAAGTTAGCAATAATATTTAAATAATACTAACTATTAATAATTTGTATTATTTACTTACATTTGTGTTATAATGTACGAGTAATTTTTTGTTTAAAAATTGTTTGTATAATGAACAACTTTATTTTATTTTTCTGTACCATCTATTTTAAAATAATATTTATGTTTTTATTTTTTTTTTGTTTTTTAGGAATGACAAGTGATGGAGTAACTTTTGAAATTGGTGAAGAAGCAATACCCATTTCAACAACAACATCTAATAACTGTGAAATCCGTGGATGGGAAAATGTTTGGCAGAAAGAAACAGCAACTCCAGTAGTTCACATCGCATTTTCACCAGATGGAACATTATTTGCTACTGCTGGTAAAGATGACAGACTAGTCAAAATTTGGTTTGAAAATAAACAATGTAAGTGTTATGAATTTCATTACGAATAAAATGCAATTGTTTTATGTAAATGTATATATTAAAATTGATTGTAAGTAAAAGTAAAATAAATATTTTATTTCAAAAATAAAATACTTATAAAATACAATTTAAATTTTATTTTTATTGTATGTATTTTAATATACATTGTTTTTAAATTATTTAGTACTATTTCCATCAAAAAGTGTTGATCAGACTTATTCAATGAGTGCTATTTCAAATGCTGGTGATCCAAATTATGGTTTTGTGTATATAGCTCACCCTCGTGCTGTAACACAACTCTCATGGCGAAAAACTAGCAAATACATGCCTAAGTAATTTTATTTTTGGATATGCCTTTGTATTAATTGAAAATTATAATCAAAAGAAATTTTTAGAGGATCTGTTTCAAATATGTTAGTAACATCATGCCGTGATAATATATGTCGATTGTGGTCAGAAACTGTATTACCAGATGATGGTTTAGTAAATATGAGTCATTTTGATCCATTAGCTGCTCATAATCCCCGATTTCGAACACATAGACATAAACATAGACTTCTGCAGCGTCTCAAACACATGAAGTAATTAAAATAAAATATTTATATATTTTTAAAGTCATTAATACAAATCTAACCAATATTTAGAGCTTGTTTTCATATACGAAGACATGCTAAACATCAAGGTGATCTTGGAACTGGTATAGCTGGAAGTACAAGTTCAACAATACCAACATTACCATCTACATTCAGTGTTCATGATTTTCACAGTTACGGTTTTCATGGTACAGGAATTATTCCTGGATTGCATTTTCATTTAGCTGCGAGTATAAATGCTGAAACAGGTAATTACATTTATGAAAACAGTTTTTATAGTTCTTTAAATGGTAAGAATAATGCTTAGCATACTTATTATAATTATTTTTCAAATTTATATTTTTGTAGACATTCCATTAGTGCCAAGTTTATCAAGCACTGACCCTGAAAGAGAACCAAATTTTGTTCTACATTGGCTCAATAATAAAGAAATGCATTTTTCTCTCCAAGCAGAAGCAATACTTAATGTACATTATTCATAAATTATTATCAATTTGTAAATCGTATGAAAAAAATTAATATTAATTTATGACATTTTTTTAGGAACTAACCAAAAAAGTAGTAGAAAAAGATGATATGCTAATAAATGATCCTTTTGTTATAAATGAACATCATGATATTGAGTATAATGATTCAAGACGTAAACCAAATAAGCTTGGTAAAGGTACATCACAAGATGAAAGCGCTAGTGATGAACACAGCTATCCATCAAGTCATCCTACACTTAGGTAATTAAATAATAATACATAGTTATTTTAGGAACTAAGAAGCTTTACAAAATGAATTGTATTAAATTTTCATCATTATTTTATTACAGTAATACAACATCTGTTAATTCATTTACAAATGATAATAATCACATAACTACTGATTCTCTTGATAATAAAATTGAATGTTTACTACGAGACTGGCACCATAGCCCTGATTTATTATTTGCTGTTCACCCTATTGATGGAAGTTATTTAATTTGGGTTGTTGATTGGTTGGATGAATATCACCCAGGGTCTTTCAGACAAGCTCAAGTTTCTTTTTCTACTAGAATACCTAATGCTTTTCCTCTTGGAGATGCTACAACAATGTCTCATAATGTTTGTTTATATCATACATCTGGATCAAGTTTACAGTTAGCATTTAGAGATGTAGTTAAAACTGCTGCTGCAGCACCAAGCAAATCACCTAGTGATGTTCATGGTAAATTAATCATATCAATTTTATAAATTTATGATAATTAATTGTTTTATTGTAGCTACTAGTGGAGATTATGGTGATTCAAGTCTTCCTAGAGTATTAGAAGAAGATGGTGATTCTTTGGCTGGTGATATTGATCTACATCGTCAAAATGAAACAGTTGAACCATCATCATTGGATGAAAATGGAAAAAGCAATCGACCTAATTTATCTACGGGTGAAGATTCAGGGACATTTAATGACATAATATCTGCACCACCATGTCCTACTCTCTCAATGGTTACTAAACATACTAATGGAACCCTTAATTTATGGCAATTAACCTTTGCTGATAAATCAAAATTTTCACAAGTGTTAAGTATTGGACATGCATCACGAGCTTCTGGTCATCGTTTCCGTGTAAATGATGTTACCTGTCACCCAGTATTGCCATTATTGTTAACCACTTCTCATCATAATTTATCAGATCAAGAAACTCCTGCTTCTCCATTATCACTCAACCCACCTACTGCTCAACCACCAACAGTAAGTATTATGTACCATTTACATAAAAATATTTTAAAATAATTTATTATGTTACGCTTACAATTTTTTTAATAGGGATTTTGTAGTGAACTTATACTGTGGAGAGTTGATGCTGTTGGACCACTTTCTAAATCTGGTGGAGTTTCAGAACTTGCTCGTATTAATTCCCTTCAAATTTCTGCATTCTCAAATGTTGCTTGGATACCAACATTACTTCCTAGGTACTACTTTGATTAACAATTTTAATATTTAGTATATAAATAATTTTATTGAAAATATATTGATTTCGATTAGTACTACATTGGGTACATTATCAAATTCTCCAAGTGCTTGTTTTGTGGCTTCCGATGGTGAGTGCTTACGTGTTTATCAAGCTGTTATAGATGCTAGAACATTATTAGCTGAAGTATCTAGTTCAGAACACCGAAGTCGAATCGCAGCTGTATGAAATCTTGTTTAATATTATAATTTTTTTTTTTTTTTTCAATTAAAAGATAACCAATTATTATAGGACTCAATGGTGAGCTTATCAACTGATGTTTCTTCAGAAAATGATTTAAAACATAACTCATTACACGATCGTATAAAAATTGTTTCTCAACAATCTACTGCTAGACCCGGGTGTATAATACAATTGGATGCTATATCTGATGCAACACATGTAAATTATTACCTTCATTTTAATATTTTTATAGGATTAATTGAAATTTAACTATTTTATTTCATTACAGGATTGGCAGAATACTCAATTTTTACATGTATTCCAAGAACAATTAATGACAGGAGAAAGATCATCTGGTAAAGGTTTAGTAGATGCTATACCTGACTTTGAAAACGAAGAGCCTGATGATGATTTTGAGGAACCATTTTATTTAGTTGTACTTGAACGAACTGTTCAGGGTACTACAGTACATATGTGGCGTTTGATTATTGCTTCTCAACCTGAAAGTAATCGTAAGTTTTATCTTTTAATTTGTAATACATTCATATTTTATTTTATAATTAGCTTTCAGTGAAATTATGATGTATGTACCCGATAGTCAATTAGTACAAGATGATGATGAAATGGACAATTCAGGAAAATTAGGTGCTACAAATTTAGGTGGGGAAGAAAATACTCAGCCAACATTTTCAAATTTTGCTCCACATGTCTCAATATCAACTACTAAAGTAAATACAAAGTTAATATTCTTATACAAACTTAATATATTTTTTTGTACATGGTGCTTAAAAAAAAAATTATATTATCATCATATTAAATAACATACATTTAAATATTTATAAAATTGACATACACAGCTATGAAATAGTATGAAAGTCTATACTCATTAGTTTTTAATTTTTGCTTAATTTAGATTTGTACCCAAGAATTAAATTTACCTGATGGTGTAGATGTCATTCATGCATCTCCTGCTGGGGGACATTTAAGTTCTGCTTCTATTTATCCAGCTTGTTTTGCACCATATGTATTTGTAACTGCATGTTCAGATAGTACCTTACGATTTTGGAAATGTAAGATTACAAAAACAGGAGATGAAGTTAGTTATCAGTGGGTAGAGTGGGAAATGATAAGAAAAGATCGCAATTCCATGATCGAAATATCAGGTACAATTTTACTAAAATTTAACTGTTGTAAAATAATTGACGTAACTATTTATTATTTATTTTTAGGTCAGCCATTAAATATAAGTGCAGCATATAGTGGCCGTATTGCTTGTGCATATAAATATGGAAAATCATTTACTCGGCCATCAAAAAAAGACCCAGAATCAAGATATGTAAATTTATGTGTTGCTATTTATGAGTGTGAAAGTACGGGTGGTTCAGAATGGTTACTTGAAGACACAATACACATGAAAAATATTCATTTGCCCAAACTTCATATTGATCCTAATGTTGATATGACATATTTACATGATCAAACAATACTATCATCCAAAAAACATAAATTACAATCTACAGTTTTAAAAGCTTTATCATCAGAAGATTTGGATGGCACTACTGGAAGAAATAATGGAAGAAATGGTGAAAATGATCAAATTTTAGTTAAAAGTAGTCATGGTAAGTTAAGATATAAAAAATGTTATGAATTTATAATAATTACTGAATTTTCAGGTTTATTGGCTGTTCCTAGTTTTAGTACTCTTCAATCATTAAGAAAATCTATTATTGAAAATGGAAATACTTGTCCATTAACACAAAAACATATTGTTCAATTAGATTGGGTATCCAAAGAAGATGGATCTCATATACTTACTGTTGCTGTTGGTAGTAAGGTAAATACATTTTCAATTATATATATATATATAAAATAACTATTTTTTAAATTAATTTATATTTTTTATATAGATTATGTTATTCACACCAGTATCAAGTGATTTAGCCCAAGCTAATATGAAAGCAATGAAAGAATCACAATCAGTAAACCGTCCAATTTTACGAAAAGCTTCATCATTAGCATCTCCCAATTTTGTTGATGAAATAAGGTAAATTTATTATTTATTATATATTCAATATACTGATATTAAAAGTTAATAACAATATTTATTTTTTCTTTATTGGTTATAGGATATAATTATCAAAATTAAGTTATTAATTTTTAATATCAAATCTAATATCACATTTTTTAGTAATCTTTAGGTACATAAAATTACAAACAGATTTGAAGAATCTTTTTATTGAAAGATTATAAAAATGTTTTGATTACAACAAACAATTTTTAATTATTAAAAATTCTTATAAAAAAATTATTAGTATGAATTTTTACTATTCATTATATATTAACCATTACTAACTTGCTTGATTAATAAATATTAAAAAATAAATATCTTTTAAAAATCACTTTTTAATTTTTCAATGTACAGAATATCATGTTATTATTAACAATTAATACCCACTACCCAGTATTCCTTAATATATATATATATATATATATATATTTTTAATTTTTATACATCCCAAATAATAACTCAAATAGTTTAAACAGTATTATTTTTTCAAGTCTGTAACTTTTTCAGGTGGATGAAACTTAGAAAAATTGATCTTACTACAGCAGATGGTTTACCTCCCCTTCCCATGCAAATATCTTGGGTTAGAGATGGTATATTAGTAGTAGGTATGGACAGTGAAATGCACGTATATTCACAATGGAAACCAAACTCATGTAAGTTTGTTGTGTTAATAACTGATTAAAAATAAATAGTTAATTTTTATTATATTTAGATACACAAAAAAATGCTTTGCCATGTTGTAAATTAGTACATCAAGAATCAGACGAGCTTCAAGATACTAGAAATCTAAGAGATGAAGATCTTAGAACATTGGCTCATGTAAATTTACTTAAAAATAAAAATTAAATTAATTTTTTTAATTTTTATTTCACAAAATAGGAAACATCACAAAGAAGATTGGCTAATGTTAGTTCCATGCCGCATTTGTCACGTGTAAGCTCAATAAATTTAAATATGTTAACTGCAGAGACAAAGAAAAAAAAATTAGGTGTTCAAAATGGTGACTCAACAAATAATATGGATTCTTATATGCCTGATTATGGACTTTTTGAAGCTAGTCGAATAGCGTGCCCTGTACTTCCTCAATATCATCCTAAACAACTTATGGAGTTATTAAATTCTGGTAAAATACGTTGGGTTAAAGCCATTCTTGCACATCTTGTCAGGTAATTAACAGTATAAATCATAAGTTTTATTATCAAAAATTAAAATAAATCTTGTTTAGGTGTATTTCTACAACATGTAGTGTAAGACAAGGTGCTGTTGTATGTTCATATTCTGAAGAAGATAATCTTACTCGACAAAGAGGATGGTCTAGGTCAAGAACATTATCTGTCAGTTATGCTGGAGCTGGTTAGTATAAATTATTTTTTTTGTTATTCACATTTATTATTTACAAATTTGAAATATATTTAATCAATATTATTATAATCATTAGCTTCAAGTCCACTGGAACCTAGAGGATCCACTACTGCAATTCCAGAAGAGCTGATGTTAGATTATGCAGAAATCACTTCCATTCCTCCTTTACCTTTATGGACACTTTTAGCAGCAGATAAAGAAAATGCCAGTACTGGACTTAAATTAGCTGAAGATGAAAAAGATTATAATGAATTATTTAATGGAAACATTTCTACATCAGAAGATAATCTTGATGATATATTGAATGATGAATCAGAATCAGAAAGTCCTCGTAGATGTGAACGTAGGTTATCCAACTCAACTGAGAAACAACAATGTTTGCTGTCTCATTTTGGACCAAAACAAGGTCAACTTTTATCTCGTCTATTAACTCATACACATTTACCTGGTTTATCAAGTTTAGATCAAATGCATTTGTTAGCACTTGCTGATACTGTATCTACATGTAACACTGATTTTGCTGACAGATTTGTTGATAAAACTCAGTTTACTAAAGACAGTTCAGCACCTCATGAAGGTGAAGTATGTTCGGGTAAGTTTTGAAATAACAAAATTGAAATTGAAAAAATTAATAAATGTACAACTTACAATTTAGATTCGTTGGATGACTGTGGTCTTAGATTCTTATTAGCAATGAAGCATTATAATTATTTACTGCGGTGTTTGGGTGTTGCACAACGTACACAATTTCAAAAAAGAGGAATGTGTTCAGCAGATATTGCATGGGCATTCCATTCTGAAAGTGAAGAGGAGTTATTACAATTAACCCCTTCTTATGTACGAGGAACCCCACGTTGGTCAGCCTTAAAAGAATTAGGGGTTGGATGGTGGCTTAGAAATCAAACTTTATTAAGGACATGTATTGAAAAGGTAAATTGTTGCATTTGTAATATTGAAATTATAATGATTATATAACCATTTGATATAGATTGCAAAAGCAGCTTATCAGACAAATCAGGATCCTTTAGATGCTGCTATTTTTTATCTTGCAATGAAAAAGAAGTCTTTAGTTTGGGGACTATTTAGATCCAAGCGAGATGAGCGAATGACACAGTTTTTTTCGAATAACTTTGCTGAAGATCGTTGGCGTAAAGCTGCATTGAAAAATGCATTTGCATTACTAGGAAAACAACGGTTTGAGCATGCTGCTGCATTTTTCCTTTTAGCTGGTGCTCTTAGAGATGCAATTGAAGTAAATATTTTTAACATAATCTTCTAAATATTGAAACATGAATAAATAATATAATAAAACTTTGTTTAGGTGTGTTTAAATAAATTAGATGACTTACAATTAGCTATGGTAATAGCGCGATTATATGAAGGTGAAATTGATTCTACCCCTCCAAGTCTTAAACGCTTATTATATGAGGTATTTAAATAAAATATATTTAAATAAGTTTAATCTTAATTTAAGTAATATTATTTAGGAAATTCTTGGTTGTGATCAAAATGGTGAAAATCAAAAATTGTCCATGGCTAATCCTGATCCTTTCTTACGTTCTATGGCACTTTGGATACTTAAAGATTTTACTGGAAGTCTTAATACCTTGGTTCAAACAAATGTTGGTACAATGCATCCACAATATAATGATGAAGAAAAACAAGAAACATCTGCTGGTATATTTAAATATAATTTGTATTTCCATGAATATCCAATTTATATATTTATCTTTATTATATATAGCAAATCCAAATGTGTTCAATTTCTATGTTTATCTTCGGACACATCCATTATTAATAAGACATTATTTAGCATCTACTTATCAAGATAAAAAAAATCATACTGTAGTATTATCAGGATTCAGTTATGGCTCTGATGTTAGATGCAGGGAAACTTCAGATAGACAGGTGAATAAAAACTTATTTTTTTTTAAAAATGTTATGTTAATTTTTATCTAAAATTTCAGTTGATGTTAGAAGATTCCATTTCTCCATTAGAAAGACAGTTATATTTCAAAACCGCTCATGCTCATTTTAAAGCAGGATGTCCTGCACTCGCCCTTGAAGTTTTATCGAAATTACCCAGTAAAATAATGGATCCTTCAACAGAACAGTCAAACAGTAAGTGTATTTTTATGAAATTATTATTATATTTAATTTTTATTTCAATTTGTTATATTTATCTTCTTTACTTTTCCCTTTACTTCTACCTTTCATTTACACACAACAGCTTTCTACATGACATCTCTAATTTCTTCTGCTTCATCTTTTCCTGGATTAATCCACCATATTCACTTTAATTTTTCCATTTTTGATGCCAATCTTTAAATTCCTATTATTGTATATATTTTACAGTACTTAAAACAATTTGAAATTAAGTAGTTATATTTGACACTCATTCCTTTATATTTAAAGTATTTAAACATCTCAAATATTGAGAAATTCATGATTTGGACAAATATCAAGGTTGAAAAGTTTCAAATTCAAAGTTTATTGTTTTACAGTTTTTCTTTATAGTTGATAAATAATAAAAATAAAAATTTCTAGTTGGATGGTTGATATTTGAACTTTTCTAATTGCCTAAAATAACAACTATTTAAAAAAAAATAATTAAATCTACAGCCTCACAACTTCTTTATCGTTTAAAACTGAAATTATTTTAATATAACTTCCGTAAAAGCTTTATAATAAAGTACATTTATATAAAAAATTATTCATGCTATAATTCTAAGTATTCTGAATACTCTAATAGCATATCAACCACCATGTACAAATTATAATAATATTAAAATGGTTGCCCGTTGTAATTACTTTATATATATTTGAAATAGAAATCATACTTTTTCATTCAATATTTAATGATATTGTATATCAGTGATGCCCAACCTTCCTCACTGGGTTACTTTGGTAAGTAATTATCTTCGAATGGGCCACCAAATATGAAAGTATGAATAATGTCAATATTAATCAAATATTATAATTTTGTTACTCATAGTAGATGTACCATATTCATGTATGAGGTGTGTTCAATAAATACCCAGACTAAAATAATTACTGAAAAACTTTTGATGTTATCGGTAATGTTGTTATACCAAAAGAAACCAAAGATAATGACCATTATTTCAGTATATAATATTAATTATTATCCGTAATCAGTCATTGACGGTATGTGTTCAAAGTTGGTCTTTCTGTATAAAATCGCGATTTAGTGCTAACATTTTTAACTGAGGAACAAATGGAACATCACATTAAAGTGTGTTTGGAACTAAGATATCAGGTTTTTAATGACCCAAGTTTTATAAAATTAATTACTATGGGTAATAAATCATGGGTGCATAAATATGATCCCAAAACCATTCAATCACAATGGAAGACTGCAAATTCACCTTGTCAGAGTCGTCAAGTCCAGTCATACATCAATATTCATTGTATGCCGTAAAAGGCCGGCAAAGTCGTGGTTTTTGTACCATTCAGCATTCAGCACTTTCCATATGTGCATTTTTGGCAACTAAAAATATACCAGTGTTACCTCACCCACCATATTCACTTGGCTTAGCTCCCTATAATTTTTTTTTGTTTCTAAAACTAAAAACCACCCTCAAAGGCTAGAGATTCAAAGACTAAATAAAACTATCCGTAACGTGACAAAAAATTTAAAGGTTATAACTCTGGAGGAAATTCAAAGTTGTTTAAAAAAATGGAAATACCGTTGGGAGCATTGTATTGAAGCTAAAGGACACTATTTTGAAGGTGATTCATTTGAATAGTTTATAAGTTTGAAATATGATTTTTAATACATTTTGTCTGGGTATTTATTGAACACACCTCATATACATATTGAACTTATTTTCATTTATTATATTGACTATGGAAAATATTCTAGATTTAAGTATACACTCTAGGTATACTCTCATCTGATCAGTGTATTATTTTAAGTGCACAGATCATATTGATATTAAAACAAAAATTTATATTTGAAAATATCCATAAATAAAATTAATAAAATAAAATAATTATTTTACTTTATTTTATAAATTTGTAACAAGCTCCATAAAAAACCTTTAGAGGCCACGGGTTGGGCACCACTGTTGTATACTGAAAGAGATCATATTAAAATTATTTATTCTAACTAGGAATTCTAAAAATGTATTAGTTAGAGAATCCATAACCTAATAAGTAATATTTTTCAATAATACATTTTACTTCTAAATAATAAATCAAAGACTATTGGTTTTTTGGAGAATATAATATTGATCTCTTACATATATGTGTGTTAAAAAAAATGTAATATTCTACTTGTATAACGTATTATTTTCTTTACAAAAATATATCTAATTAAAAATCTATAAAATGTCTATTAGTTCCACTATGCTTTATTTTTTCAATTAAATCTATCAACTTTTTAGTGTTTTGAGTTTTTAAATGAAAATTATAATTGTAGTCAATCATACATTGTACTGGAATTTCACCATTAGTTTATTTATTATACATTCAATATTTTGGCAAAATAATTTTATCTGTTTTTATACACGTTTGTAAATTTATATCTTTAGTTTAATATCTTAGCAATTTATGGGAGGAGTTTCAAACAAGTCCAATGTTATTATAAGGCTTGTTATTTTTATATTATAATGTTCTACATAGACTTTTTATTAATATAGGAATAATAATCATAAATTATAATTAATTATTATTTAACTATGGTTGAGTGAGTATTTTTAATAATTTAATAAAATGTTGGTCATTTTCAAATATTATTACACCACTATCATTAATGTACCAAAATAAGCAAAACAAAACAAAACAAATTCCCAATATAAAATATACTGACTAAGCAGAGTTTTTATTTATCCTATGTCTAAATAAAAATAAATAATTGGTTCAAATGTTAGTAAATAAGTTATAAACTCATAAGTCATAACAATAAATAGTATTTATTTTTTCTAAGTCAGTTTTCTTTTCTATGTCAGTGGGAGTCGGAATATATAAAATCAATAAACTTATTTAATGTCCATTGATGAATTCTGTTGTTGTTTTTTCAATTGTCATGGTATAGTTTTTTAAACAATTACAATGGAGTATCATTTTTTTTTTTTTTTAGACAATTGTTCCTTATAAATTTATGAGTTATAATACTTAATTAATTTTTAAATGCTATACTAATTTTAGTATTGAAATCTATATTTTATAATGTATAATACTTATTAACCCTAGTTAATAAATGATTTTGTTTATGTTTATAATAATTTAAAATCATCTTAATTGATCATTACAAAATAAATTCAAATTTAATGTTACTAGTTAAAACTTTTTTTAATTTAATTAATCTACTTTTTTACATCTGATTGTATTTCATAGATATATATTAATAAAAAAAAAGAAACATGATTTTAAATTTATTTCATATTTCATAAAAAATTTCAAATTAATTATTTGTGAATTTTAATTTAAATAATTCATAGTTTCAATCTAACATTTTGAAACCCCATTTATTACAACAACTATGTATTATAATTTATTTTATTTTACTTGAATATTTTTTCTTAACAATTAAAACATTTTATTCAATCTTTAGAATTTCAGTTCATTTAATTTAAATTTATCTCAATGAAATATTTAAAAATTATAAATTAAATTTAACAATACAGTTTTTTATAAGTAGTAAAATAAGTTTAATCAATGCTTAAGTTTTTAAATGAACTTATATCATCTTTATCATTACTATCAATTGTTGTATCTACTTCGTCTTTGACATGACCATTTCTAAATTTTTCTTCTTCCAAAAAATAATCACGATTTTCCAATAGTTTTTTCTTCAAAAGTTCTATAAAATATAAAATAACGTTTGTTTAAAAATAATTTCTGCAAAAAAAAAAAAAAAATTTGAATTGAAATTAAATTGAATTTTAAATGTACCATTAGTTTCACCCATATCAGGCGCAAGACCACCATAATCCTTTGGTACAACTTTTTGTGGCAATGTTTTTATAAACTCGTTAGTCTTCGAAACTGATTTTATTACAACCTATAATAATTACAAACAAAAGTTAATTGATAATATGGATTTGAAATAATCGTATACACTTTTACTTTATTTATTAACGAAGAGCTCATAAATGGTTTCATTGTTGAGAATACTCTTTCAGTTCCTGAAGTGACGTTAAGAACGAATATTTTATCAATTATGAAAGACGTACCCTCCTAAATATATATTATGATTGTATTAATTAGTTATTTGTATATTAAATGCCGTGTTTATATATATATATATTTATATATATAACAATAATTAAATGTAACCTGGACGTATGTCATTAAATTCCTTGCGTTAGATAGGGAATATCGCAATGCGTGACTTAGGCCGAAACGATTTGAATCAAGTACCATAATATAACCCGGTTTAGTACCACATTCAATTTGGTCAAGTTCGATAGCCATAAAAGTTAGTTTTGTCGCCACAGTTGGATAATATTGTGAAGAATCGACAATTTTCAACTGCGACCATATATAACTGTAGCGAGTATCTTCGTCCGGAATAATGTTAATATTACTGAACAAGTTAATTTTGATTATTATTTAAAAGTTCTAAACACAAATGTTATAATAAAAATATGCTCATGTAAGCTTACACAACATCCAATTGTCTTTGATTAAAAGGGTGTGCTGGATCTCTTGCTGAAAAGTATGGAAGGCATTTCTTAGCTCGTAAAGTGTAGCATTGACATATTACTTTTTTTGCATATTCTTTATCGTAATCACAAGCATGTAAGAACATAATGATTTGAAGTTCTATATATATATATATATAAAATAAAAATAAGTAGATAATATCTTATTGTTTTTATGTACTAGTTTAGTAATTATTACATAATTAAAACTCCGTATTCTAAAAATGTTGATAGTATTAATGTGTACACCGCTATAATGTCTATCTACTATCGTTTAAATACGTTGTAAAATATTCATAAGAAAATATTATTTTTATTTTCTGATTCATAAATATATAATATAAATATTCAGTAAAATTCAAATTTCCAATTATTCTTTAATTCAAAATATAATTTATTTTTCTTTCAAATTTGTATGCACTAACAATGTACAAAAAAAAAAAAAAAAAATTGGAAATTAAATTAAATTTGCATATAATACGTAAAATAAACACTTTTTTTTACTAAAGTAACAAAGTTAATTTCTTTTAAAATATTTAGTTACAAAACAGTAATATGGTAAATTGTACGTGTTAAAATGTTATTAACCACTTATATACATTTTTACATACTATAGGTATACAAAAAAAAATTTAACATAAAAATATATACGAGTTATTTAATCACCAAAAAATATTATGCACGAATGTTTTAAATGTATATTATTATTCTTTATAATAAATAAGATATTTGTCTTACCTAAATATTATAGTTAATAAATTCGTAGTTGACCTTCACCTATTAGTTAAAAATTGATTTTCCCCAGATGCATTTTTAATAATTAAAAATAAAAATGTTTTAAAAAAGTATGTTACAATACATTTTAAATTATAATAATAAATTTTAAAAGTATATATATTTTTTCGAGTCTTATTTTAATCTTATATTTAGTCTACTCACCAATCATTTTTCCGTGTAAATTTATATTTTCGTTACTCCACGTCAGAAGTTCTTGTACGTCTTTAACTGTTAATTTTGGATTTTTTTCGTACTCCTGATGAGCAGTAACTTTATAAAATTTTTCTAGAGTTTCCATAATTGTTTTAATTGATACTAAATAAATTTCTATTTTTAAGTTGTAAAGTATACTGCGCTCAAGTTTAACTGTAAAAATTATTTGATTATAATATATACATAATAATATTAGAGAGTGGATGTTAACTGTACGACCTCGTTTATGAGACTACCTCTGGAAGTCTACTCTACGTGTCTTCAATGCGTCATTGTCCTTGAATAAAACTGGTCTTGCGTACCTCGTGCTCTGACGTTTATGGTTTGTATTTTTAAATTAAAAAACAAAAAAATTATTAAAATACAAAAAATCTGAATACCTTTAATATAATCTTTTATTTTAATATTTATAATATTTTTAGTTTTTAAAAATGTTCAACTTAGTTACAAAGAATTCAAAATCTTATAAGAATTTTTTATCGGATACAAAAAATATTATTTTTTGTCGCTTTAGGTCAGTAAACTTTTACTGTCTAAAATTTCTCAAACAAAATTATACTACGTGTGTAAAAATTAAAAGATAACAAATATTTATTTTTTTAAAGTAAAAAGTTATACAAAACGAAAAAATTTATATTCACTACCTTGGTTTGGTGTGTTCAGTCTTCAATTGCCTCATTTTTATACTATTTTATAATTCTATCCAATCCTATGTAATTTAAACAGGGGAACTAAGTTTAAAAAAAATAAAATTCATAAAACTAAATTATATAGTATTTGCACAAATTTTTGTTGTGCCTATGTTTACGATTAATTTAAAACTAACTTAGTGGATGTACGTCAAAAGAACATAGTTCAAATGGTTGTTCTTTATTGTTTCTATAGCGATGAGACGAGACTTATATGAAGAAATGACTTCAATGTTACCCATTATTTATAGGTGTTAAATAGTTGTATTAATCTTTAGTTAATTAATTGAACATTTAAAAGTTACTGAAAGTCTAGGCATTCAAATATCGATTCCAAAAGAAGTTTGATTGTTTAAAATTAAGAGATTTCATAAAAAAATATCAGTTATGACTTTGGAAGTATTTAAAATATTTCTAGAAATTATAGTTTTTTGTTAGTATTCAAGTCTTAACAATAATTATTTACACATAAATACTAATTTTATCCGGACTTCCGGAATAATACCAAAATTCTAAGTGTCCTTCATCGCTTCACTGCTCAGACAACTTATTTCCGACCATGTGTAAGTTACTAAGCCTTTTGTGATATAATTGTAGATGTACTATTTAATACACTCAAAAATAATTAGAAATAATCATTACATTTAAATAATAATGTTCTCAAATTACTCAGTTTGAGGTAAATTAAATAAAAGTGCATACAATGGTTAACTTATCATAACAAATTGCAATTTCAAATTTTCATTTTCAGTATGATTAGAGTATAATATGTATAATAATAATAATAATAATATCACTGTGACTAACCAATTTTTAAGTTTTGAAATTATATCATACATTGATACCAATTTGTTGCATAGGTATCATTGTATTTTAATCGTAATGTCATGTTCAAGATTTTAAATGTACAGATGATACTAGGCTTTAAGGTTAAAAAAATTCTAATATCTATATATTTGTTATATTTTGAGATTATTTAAAATAAAACTATAATTCTAAAAATCAAATATTATGGAATTGGTTTTAGTCGAAATTGACTTAAACCTTTGCCCTAAAGATTCGTGACAATTATAAAAATTAATTTTTATTTTTCCCCAAATATTTTTATTTAAATTGGTTTTTAAATTAAATTTTAAAATGGTTAATTTAAATTATTTTATCTATAAAAACAAAAACTTATTCGAGAAAATGCCTTAAGATACTAAATGCTACGAAGTTTAATCTGGTGCCAAACATACTTGTTGTATAATATATATTCAGTTATATTACTTCTGAGATAAAAAAAAAAGTTATTTTAACCTATAATGGATAATTAATATACATAAAATATTTTTAACATCTTAAAATGACAAGTATCGTTAATTTATATATATATATATATATATATATATTAAGTAACGCTCGTAGTAATAGACTATATAGTTGCGCGCGCGGGGTACCTAATTATTTACCGTTTAAATACATTTTTTTTTACATTATTTAATTTTTACTGACTAGATTTTGTATATTATTGAATTTCAAATCATAAAATATTACTTTTCTTTATTAATTATAAATTATTAATGTACAAATAATAATTAATTAAGAAAAAAAATGTATTTTATTTTATCGATATATATATATTAGTACAGAATACGATCTGTTCTATCATAGGAACCGTAAAAAAAAAAAAAAAATAAACCATGAATGATTTTTGGTATTTTCATCTTTTGCCATGTTAATTCACCTGATTTTTCAGTTACTTTATAGTGATTTGGATTTTTTGTTCTTAGATTTGGCTTACGACAATACCATTTTGTCCCATATTTTCTATAAAAACACTTAAAACGCATACTTAGTGGAACTTCATTGTCGATCAATCTCCCTGATTTTTTAGTGTTAAAACTCTAATATGTAATAATTTTCATCAGATGAACATTCATCTGTAGAAGATGAACCACCTCATATATCATCATCACTTATGTCATCTAATAGGAATGCAATATGACGGCGTTCTAATTCATCCATATTTTCATTTTGTGTAGAAATCGACGAATATTAAACAAAAATAAGCACGCATAGAGCGTTTTTGCCGAACTATGAACAGGACCGCTTTAGTATACAATTTCTCATGTATTTTTGTTAATTACATCCTGATTGTTTCGTTTTTGTAATTGTATGATAGTGACTATAATAAGATAGCATGACCCATGTGAATGTAAAAAATCCAACAAACACCTTATAACAAATTAAAAATAGACCGAGATAAATAATTATCCCGTGCGCCTCACTAAAGGCTAAAAAAGCCAACTTTGGTTATAATTGTATTTACCTCTTGCATCCACTAATTATTTAGTCAATGAATTTCTTCGTCGTTTAATGTCTAATGTCAATGTTGACCCTTTCACCTTTGATGATTTTTGTCTGTGTATTTGCACTAGTTTTAATTAATTTTCTTGTAAATTCTATATTAATCAATGTTATAATTTACAAACATTGTATATATACATATAAATAAATAATATAAATGCATATAGAGATAGACGAATTGTATGAATTTCGAATTTGTTTAAATTTTGTTAGAACTGTTCTTTAACTAAATTTACTAAATAATACATTGTTATAACTTTTTAAATGTTATAATGGAATATTATATATAATTACTCATTAAAAACGCATATGTTACTTTCTCTTATCGCACATTATACATATTATATATATATATTATGTATATCATACACGTATTATTGTCACCTTATTAAACTTTCCATTATTAATTACTAACAATCATACATTTTAATCAAAATATAAATGATTATTTATCATTGTAGAAGTAATTATATTAGAATTTTTTAAGACGTTTGTTTATTTTATAAGATTAAAGCGTACAAGCAATAATAATTTAAAGCCTTTTGAGTACAAATAAATTGACGTATTAATAATAAATTAAAATTCAGTCTTCTAAGAATGTTGGATCATTAATAAAATAGCACATTGTTGTTGAGTCAAATAAGGATTTTAAGAAATACTTTTTATATTCTAAATACTAACACAAATGCTTTGATGTAGTGTTTATATTTTATATAATATTTATAATTTTCAAATTTCATAATAGTTATCCATTATTTCTTATATTTTTAAACACATATACCTATGTAATGACACCAAACTACTTTTTAGTAAATGGTGCACACATTTTAACTACTAACCCACCCACCCTTACCTAGACGCCCTCAAAAATATTATTTCCATTTAAACCCAAGATCCAAATATCGATGCTATTTGTTTCTACAATTACTTGGCCATCAATGATCAAAGTATTATCATGTTCATATTAAGTATATACCTACACCTAATACCTACTGACTACTAAATACCAATTTTTCAAAATTATATAGACCCAAATTGGGTTACCTGTACCCATCCCCCAATTTTAGATGGTGTGAATGTACCTACTTATTTTATTATATTTATTATATTTACATTACTATTACTACCTCCTAAAGTACGTAATCGGGGCACCATTTTACATATGTAAAATCAAATTTGGATTTAATTATACTAAAATTAATATTGAACTTAAAATAATAAATCAAACATTATAAGTTAAAAAATATAAGTACAATTAATTATAAAAACCATTTCAATTTAAATAGTTAACAGATTTGAAACTATCCCAATTATATTTACGTAACTCATAAACTCTTGTGTGTACTTCTAAACTGAAAACGTAATTTTTATCATTCTCAGTTTAGTTAAGGTAATATGTAAATAATTACTATTTACAAGCAAATCATTAACAATTAAAAATAATACTTTATTAACTTTATTTGTACAAAAAATAACTTTGTAGTTTTATTCCATACAAATAAACATAATTTAACTCTGGGAGGTATTTAAATCAAATGAAAAACAAATTTACTTACATTTCACAGTTTATATGTAGATATTATGACGTTATTTCATTTAAAAATTAAATTTCATTTTCTTAATTTCGTCGGTGTTTGGTGACTACTAAAATGTTATCACCAAACGATATTATTAACATTACATTTAATTAAATTATCTAAGTGATTTAAACAAATATATACTGGTACTTGATGTTTTATCGTATGTCAATATTCGTAAATAAATTGCTAATCGTTTATCGAAAAGACAATAAAACGGGTGTATGATGTTTACTTTTTATACTAATATTTTATAGCTTTTAACAACATCTCGATAAACGTATGTATTATTTTATGTACACGCACCGGTTTTAATCAACTGCGGCCGCACCACATTAGAGCGGTTTTGACGCGCGTTACCGCATGCTTACGTACGCTGTATGTAGCGATTTTTGTATTGCCGCTCGGGCAATGATTCTTCCGTGTGAGGACTAGCCTAAAGATCACACCAAACTACAGCGGTTTTGACGCGCGGTAAAAACGCGTCGAAAACGTTAGATAAAAACGAATACATAATATCATTGATTATAAATACTAGTAATATAGTACTATAGTATTTATAATACTAGTAATATAGTACTATAGTATTTATAATCAATGATAATATGTATTCGTTTTTATCTAACGTTTTCGACGCGTTTTTACCGCGCGTCAAAACCGCTGTAGTTTGGTGTGATCTTTAGGCGAGTCCTCACACGGAAGAATCATTGCCCGAGCGGCACAGTCGCATATAATCATGACTTCAGAAATTAGTTATTCTGCCGATTTTCTGTTGTCACTCGTTGATATTCTCGATTGGCCTACTGAAACAGAAAAATCGCACGTGGACTATACCACAAAAATTTCGACTGGTATTTCTAGAATCACGCTTGACAATTTATTTATTAACTATCCTTGTTGACGTTTTTGCTGAAGTAAACCATTAAAAAAAATATGCTGATCGATCTCTACTAGAAAAAAATTGGTCATCCCTGCTATACAGTACACATAAAGTAAATTTACTACCTAATTGTGCGTATAATAAACACAAATCATAAACCTATGGAAATCATTAATGTTGCCTAAAGTAATTCAATTAAATAAAAATTAAAAACATTCTTCTGGAGTCTAAAACTGAACTTGATTAACAAAGTATTAATCTATAATATAGATTAAATTTTTTTTATTATACTTCGATTAAATAATATATTTAACTTTAAATAAATAAAATATTTTTAGGTTTGGTCAGTACCCCAACGCGAAGTCGTGACATTCGCATAGATACTGGTATCTTAATGCACGAAGAAATAGAAAAAAAATCTGCTGAAGCCGTTAATTTAGATGTAGTTGTAAATAATACTGTGACTGCTGAAGAAATAGATTGGTCCACACCAGTGATGAAACCAAAAGACGAATTAGTACTTGAATGGAGCGATAAAGAAGATGATGATGAAGATGAAATAACAGTGCAAGAATCTTCGAAAATTATCAAGCAAGAATCCATGGAGAGTGAAAAATCAAAATCTGATTCAAAAGCATGTAACCTTGATGTAATGGCACAACAGCTGAAATTTGTTGCTTGTCTAAAAATACTGATGGAAGAACTATCCACTTTAGCTACTGGGTACGAAGTAGATGGTGGAGAGTTAAGATATCATCTTTATTTGTGGCTCGAGAGAGAAGTCGATGCTTTAAAACATTTATGTAACTATAGATCCAAAGATTCAATGATTGTCCAATGTAAGTATACCTAATATTGTTTGATACCTATTTATAATAATACATTTGATTTAAATAAATTAAAATAATTTTAATAAACTATCTATCTACATTGATTAAATTATATTATTGTATATGTTAAGGTGTATGACTGTTTAGCGGTGAGTATTGACAACCACCGGTAGTTGTCGACCTTTACCAATCAATTTGGTGAATTTTGTCTATTTTTACAAATAACTCACATTATGGACATTTACTGATTCCATAATTGTTGATATGTGCATTAGTTATTTGGTGAATTTTAACATTTAAAAAAAAGAATTATAAAATAATTACAATTAAGTATTTAAAATTAATAATTAATATGAGATACAAATGGAGAATGAAATTATAAATAGATTTAGATTGGTTAGTTAAATTTAGTTTATTTACTTCATTGTAGTTTATTGCGAAACATTTTTTTTCTTTAACACAATAACTTTATTCATACATTTATAGCAGTTTTCAACACTTAAATAGAAACAATTATCTTCCCTTTTTGTGTTTAAAAGTTAATTAAACTTTTCATAAAAAATTTCTTTCATATTTTTCATTTTTATGATTAATAATGTTATGTGTAATTGAAATCAAAATTAAAACTAACACTTTTAACATTAGATTTAGTATACGTGTCAATACTAACGAAGATATACTTAAATTTTACGATAGAAAATCGGATTATTAAAAATTGATATTACTATCTCGAGCAATAACAATAATAATAGTCGAGCATGTATCTCACACTCGAAACTTAGATTTGTAAAAAAAAAAGTTTCAAAACATTGTGATGTGGTAATAGTGACAAACATCTTAATACTATTGAAAGTATCTTATTATATATATTGGACTTAAAGTGTGGTCAACATTTACCAAACACTAGTTATGAATGTCCACAGTCACCAGTTTATGTCCTCATAAAGGCTATTTTGGCAATAATTAATATGATTTTTGGTGACTGTCAACATTCATCGTCTGCAATTATACACCTTAACATATATATATAATTATAATAAAAATTATATTAAATAATAAAAATAATTCAATATTCATAATTTTAAACAAAAATTTAGATGAAGGAAGTATTGAAACATCAGTATTAGATCCCCGTGAGTTTTCTTCAACACCTACACTAAAGAATTCTTCTGACAAACCAACCTTGCATGATATTTTACTTGCTGAAAAAATTGATTTTGAAGCAAAAGTTCAACGAGCAGCTAGAAGAAAAAAGTGGCTAAAAGGTATAAAAATTAGTTGTTTCTATAAATATTTTGAATTCTATATTTATACATTTTTTTTTTTTTATTAGAAAACGAAACACTTTTAAGAACATTGCTCAGCTATTGTAGTTTACATGGAGCTGGAGGTGGTGGTTTAGCATCAGTTCGAATGGAATTAGTACTTTTATTGCAAGAATTACAACAAGAAAAAACTCAACAACAATTACTCTCACCATTGCCATTCCCTACTACTTTACCATTATTGTCTGCAAGTGTTGCTTGTAACAAAACTGTAATAGCAGATCCAGTTAGATACCTTCAAGTATATAATTTAATAAAGTTCTTAATAGGGTTAACATTTTATGTTGCATGTTAATTTAGAATTTTAATAATCATTCATTTTATTTAGGCTCAAGCACATGATATGTTGCAAACAGTTATTGATATTCGTTATCCTCCTTTATTGACACGAATGGATCTTAGTGATTTATTTGTATTGAGAGATTTGTCAGTGGCATTGTCAGCTTGTTTTTATCAATCACTCTGTGATAGTGACACGGTTGCTGAAAGTTATCAATCTGGTGCTGACAATCCATCTTATTGTAGCTACCTGATAGCAGCCAAAAATAGAAAACGTCGTTACAGTATAGATGAACCTAACAAAGTGACTACTCCGCCTTCAAAATGGCCTGGTGTTTCAAGCTTACGTGCATTATTAGCACATGAGAAAGATGAAGATGCACCTAAATTAAATACATTATTGTGTGAAGCTTTTGTTGCTACCTATATGGGTTTATTAGTATACGCATTTTCTACTTGTGATTGTCATATATTATACCGATTAGTTGGACAGAAATTTTCTGAAACTACATGGAGTGCACTTTTTGGAGGTGGTGTGAAAAAATTACTAAAGGTTGCACCTACAGCTCCTAAAAGTCGAGTAAGTAGAATTTAGAGTTTATTTAATTGGTAGTTCTATACATTATACAATAATATATAATATAATAAATATTTTATAGCCTAGCAGTTTAGAACGAGAGAATAGTACAAGCAGTGATACTGGTGTATGGACAGCAGTTACAAGCTTAACTAAACAAAAAGTACGATTAAATATGAAACTCCTGGGTCAGTTTGTTGGTTCTCCTGGTACTCCAAGTATAAAAGAAGATAAACCTACGTATAGAGAGCATTTCATACCTCCTGAAATGTCTATGATATCATATTTTTTGAACAAAGTAAGACAACTAATATTCTTTCTATTAAATTTATTTTTCGTGTATATTATATTTTGCTAAACTTTTTAGCCAAATTTATCCACAGAAGTACAAGACGTAGATTATGATTCAGCTGATAGTGCTGTATCTGATTTATCTGAAGATGAAGATGAGGATTGTGATGTTTTTGATAACACACAAGATAACAAAAGCAAAACTAATAAAACTGAAAATACTGAACATTCAAATCCTTATAGCTATGCTTGGATGGTAATGAGATTAGCCATAATGCAATTGGTCCAGGAGCAGTTACATGGATTTCTCACAGTTGCAGCCATTGATCTCCAAGGTAATTTGACATTTATAGTTATTATTAGTTTTATTTTTATTAATTATTATTATAATACTAACTGCAAATTATATTATATTCTACCTACTTTTTTTTATAATAATTAACAGAGAAATTCATATTTGAAAATATTAGTTACCTATATTATTTTATTTATTTAAACATATGAATGTATTGATATAACTTTTTATAGAGTTTGTTCACATGGTATTATTAAATTATATATTTAAATGCAGAATTATGTAATTATGTGTTTAGAATTACCAGTTAGTAGTCCATTGATACATGGCATACTCCGAGTAGTTAGCCAATGGCAAGATATATTAAAGGAAGAATTAGAATCTAAGGGCCCTCCTCCTGTTGATTACATACCCGGGTGCTTTGTTGAACAAGCTACAACTGGTCCTCCAATTAATAAGTACAGAACACTTTTGGATAAAACAAATACCCCATTCCAGTAAGTATATTTAATATTTAATGAATTAAACTATCAATTTTTTAATTTTGTGTTTGTTTAGCCCTCGTCATGGATCAGCAGCACCTGCTCGGCGTTTGTGGAACTTTTTAGTTCGTCAAGAATTTGTTCAAGATTTGTTCATTCGTAGTATTTTTAGCCGTCAACCTCGTGCTGCAGGAAGCTCTACTTTACCAACTATGAGTCAAGAAGTAAAGTCCTGTTCAGGAAGTGAAACACCTAATTCACATTTACCTGATCCTGTGAGAATTATTCATAAAGAACAAGATTCAATATCTGCTTTTTGTCTTAATTTGGTATTTATTTATTTTATTTAATTATTTAAAAATTCAATAGCATTAATTTTACAAATTGGCTTTTTATTTCAGGCAAACAGTAGTCTTCTTGCTTTGGCAACCCCTCGGGAAATACAGGAAATGGACATATCATTATTACTAGAATCACCTTCTTGGTTGGAGGATGAATGTGAATTTGATCTAGTTAATTTATCTCGGTTAGTCTAAAAACATTTTTTTTTTCGGCATATTTATTTTTTGGTACTTCCTTGATTTATACTAACAGAGATCATGAGCATCAACCATCAAGTTTCTTGGTTATCCAAACTTCTGTTGATCGCCCCCTTCAAACATCTCCTGGTACTGTTATTGTTAATCCACTGCCAACAAGCCCCAGCGTAACTGGTTTAGCAAGCCAGACTGGACGAGGCGCTTCTGTGGTAAGTGATTTATATGTTTCATTTCTTAATATTGTACTTTTAATCATATGAAATATTCTATTGTTTATTTGGGCTAAAGAGTAAAATAAAATTATAGTAATTGTGAAATCATAAGCGTTATGTGCTGTACGTGAATGTTTTGTTTTCTATGTGATAAGGTACAACAAAAGAGCTCACAAAGTTACAGCGATGGAGGAACGAGAGCAATAAAAAGCTCAAAAAATATTATGTCGGTAAGAGGCCATTAATTGTTGCGAGCGTGGGCTTACATTACCATCTGCCGTGTTTTTCTTCTGTGTACAATATATTTGATCTATTTCTATTTAAAAACAATAATTATTTAAATTTCAACAAATATCTGCAGGTGCCAGAATAAACATAGCTTTATATAACTTTAAGCTTCCCAATACTTAAGTGCTTTCAAAATTTTCGACAAATGCTTACAAAACTACATTTACCTTACCTACCTCTTATATTTTCATTTTTCCTCCATTTATCCTAATCAAGTTAATATATAGACATCACTGATTATACTTATACATAATAATAATACAGCTTTTGTATTATACTCTTCAAATACATTTATAAAAATTATACTTACCTAAATACTGTAAATAAATATAACATTAGTAATGTTATGTGTAGAGGTACGCCTGTTTTGTTTTTGGTTTGTTCATTTTCTTTTTTTCAAGGCTTATCTCTAAAAACACAGTTAATTTAATTATTACATAAATTGCATAAATGCTTTAACAATACATCAATTGTTTTTAAAATATTGTCATTATTATTGTGTGTCACATTGCTATCAGATGAAGGGACTGAATTTCCCTGGTTGTCACGACCCACGTTTCTGTCAGTTTGTCTGTGACCGCAGTCGACTCCTGCTCAGACCGGTGCGTTGAATTTGATGACTTACATTTTTTAATTCAATTTAAAAATTGAGTGTTTCTCCTTTGTTATGATTTTATATGTGCGCATTTTAGAGCTTCAACATAATATGAACAACCTTATAAAGTTGTTCTTATTTGGTTTTATTTTTTATTTTTCTAAATTTTATTTCTGTTTTTAAGTAGAATAGACAAGATTTTTGTGTGCGCTTGATGATGCTTGAAATATTACAATCAACAATGTATAATATTCCTAGAAGTGTTTAGCTAATACATAAATGTCATTATTAAAAATAAAACCTCATGAACTTTGTACATATACATTGTAAAAATCATTAACCATAAAACATTATATGTATATAACTTTTTTAAACCATAATTTGTTATTTATTAATTTAATTTTTTTTTTTTTTTTCAATTAATGTTTTAGGTGATGAAACATCGTGTAGATAACATTCGAAGAATATGCCCACATCCTTTGCTACCTGTGTGTTAGTAAATTATTTCAATATATTTATGACAGAACTTTGAAGGGACAATTAAAATTGAAAAAACTATATTTTTATCAGATTTGACTGGTTCACAAGATGGATCAGTTCATATTTGGGAATGGGGTCATCCTCAAACAGTAGCTGAGCCTCGTGCAGCTGGTACATTTGCAAAAGTAACAAGAGTGCGGTTTTCTCAGCACGGCAATAAATTTGGTGTAGCTGATGGTGATGGAAATTTATCTCTGTTTAATGTCGGTCTTACATCATCTAACTATAGACCATTTTATGTATGTCTTAGTTTAAAGTTGCTGCTGTGGTTTTGTATTCTCAACTTAATGTTAATGATTTTGTTTAATTTTTCCAAGACATTCCAATGCCATAATAAAGTTACCAGTGATTTTGTATTCCTTGGTTCATGTAGTCTCATTGCTACCACTGGCCATTCGTCGGAAAATAGAAATGTTGCTTTGTGGGATACACTGTTACCATACAAAAAATCACTAGTCACAGGTAATAATGTGAACATTAATAATTTTATTGCTAAGTAATATTAATATTTCTTTTTTTCTTTAGCATTTGTGTGTCATGAACAAGGTTCTACTTGTATAGGATTCGCTCCTCAACATCAAGTAATTGTCACTGGCGGACGAAAAGGTGACATATGCATATTTGATGTGCGTGGTGGTAGTGGTTCAATAAAACATCGTTACTTAGGTCATGAGTCATGCCTTAAGTGCATGACTATTGACCCACATGAACAGTTCTATTGCACAGGAGCAGCAGATGGAGACATTAAAGTAATATATACTTTTAAATATTTATATATATATATATATATATTGAAATAATGATATATTCTAATCTTTAAATAGAACTATTATTTATTAACATCCATATATTTTAATTCAGATTTGGAATTTGTCCACCCATCAGTTAATGTACACTTTTCCTGCTGAGCATGCTCGTTCTAGTTTCTTCAAACATATTGGTCAAGGTGTTACACAGCTACAGGTAGACTCATCTGCAAGGTTATTCTCATGTGGAGCCGACGGTTCTATGAAAGTCAGACAACTGCCGGACAGGTATCATTAGGAATTTATATGTGATTAGATTCATTGCTAATCCTGGTATGAATCGAATTGATTTGCTATTAAAAATAATAAGTAAAAAATATATAACAACAGCACTAGTCAAATAATACAATTTTGTAGGGGAATGCTGCTTTTGAAAATAAATTTCTTGTTATCTTTGTGTTTAAATTATAATCTTTTATGCATTATTGAGATTCATTCAAGTCTATTATAATAATTCTTATTTTACTAGTAAAATATTAGAAAATGTATTTTAGAACACACGTATTATAATAAAATAATTTAGATAATTTGTTAATTATAACATTAAAATGTGTGCAATAATCATGCATACAACTTATTGATATTATCTTTACGAATTTGGTACTCAGTAGCTATTACCGATTAAAATCAGCAATAATAAATCATTACATTTTTTTGAACATATATCGAGATTACCTTATTAATAGTTTTTCTTTAGTATGGTAATGATAATATTTTATAATCCTTTTATTTTGCCAATTTAATCCAGTATTATGAAAGTTCTCTCGTATTTTAATACTTCTAGTCTATATAACTTGTGAAGTAATAAAAATTTTAAAAAAATTAAATACATTATTCAATACCTAATCATTATACTAAATGGATATTATTATTAACTTATTTATACTATTATTATTTGAGTTATTTATATATTTAAATGAATACATAGTTGTGCAATAAAATATATAATACATATTATATACATGCATATATTATTCATGTATTAGAATTATACATAGGTACCATTTGAATAGAAACGTAAATATACATATTACTCTGAAAATCAAATATATTCATACCAATTTTGTAAAAAAGTCATAATAATTGATAATAATTTTAGCTGTATAATTATCTGTGGTATAACTAATAATCTACCTAGTACAGGTTTTATTATTATGTGCGGATCTTCTGTGATTTTTTTATTAATTTATAATTAGTTTGTTTTTATTTACCTTATCTTGTAGTTAATTATGTGAGTTTGTGCATTTTATTTTAGATCAAGACTTTTGACAATAAAAAAAAATATTTGTTAAAATTTATTGTTTTGAACCCATCAAGTTTAAATTATAATTTATAGTAGCATTTGAAAATTAATTTACCCTGATATAATCAATTTGCTTTACACACTACAACACATTGTTTAATTTTCCTTGGCTATTATTTTATTTGATGTCATTTAAAAAATGTTACTATAATATAAATCATATTATTATTATTATTATTATTATTATTATTATTATTATTATTATTA